TATTCAGATTTTCACACAGAAACTATTTACGTGTTCACTTTTTTAGATATTAAAGAACGACAGTCATCCACAGCGGCTCAGCGGACACACTGTGTAAATGACAAAGAAGAGGACTGCACATGAAAGCATATAAAGCAACATAGATTTACAAAAAAAACAGGTTTTTTTTTTGTTTTCTTAAGACATGCATTCACTTTGAAATGTAATCACTCCCAGTTTAGGAAAGAACAAGTAGGAATCATCTGATTATTATAGCAGCAGATAAAGTTGAATTTTTCTTTGCTTGTGTGGGAAAAGAAATCTTTGTTTTTTCTCCTTAATGAAAATCATATAACCTCAGCTTTGTTTTTGTTTTTTTTTGCTTTTTTTGTTTTTTTGGAGGGGTTTTTTTTCATAGCTCATTTCTGTTGGATTGTACTGTATGCTTGCCTTTTACTGCCACTTGTTAGAAGAAATAAAATCCAGAAAAACATGAGCCTAAAAGAGAAAAATCGCAGCATAAATCATGTATATCACAATGTTGTATTGAACCCAGCTGTTTAAAGGAAAATATATTTATATGCAACAGATGAAACTCTTTATGCAAGAGCTTTTGTTGAAACTTGCTTGAATAAAACTGTAATATTGTATCGAAGTTTTAGACTGATTATTGTGATCTTGGTGACTTTGTTTCCAACATGTATGTATATGTTATTGTCTTTGATTAAGCCACTGATTCTTTTTTTAAAACTGGATAAAATTTCTGAAAATAGCAAAGAAAAAGCTGATTGTTTTAATGTGTCACGCTAATATAAAGCAGAGAAAAACAGCATAATAAGGAGCCTTATTATTCGGCACACTCATCAGCGCTTCCTGGAGTTTACCTGGCGTCAGTGGCGAATCCAGTGCCATTGCTTGGGTGTCTAATAATTTTGGAAGAGTTATGTTGTCGAGAAATTTATCAATTTCATTTTTAGATGGGTTTATTTGTGGTGTATATAAAGTTTCATAGGAATCCCTAAAATTTTTTTTATTTTTTTAAGATCATATATTGTATTCCCAGATAAATCTTTAACAGCACATATAGTTGTTTTTTCTTTATTGATTTTTAACTGGTTAGCAAGAAATTGTCCGGATTTGTTACTGTGTTTATAATTTTGCAGGCGAAGTCTTTGTACTAAGAATTTAGTCTTTTTATTAATAATTTCATTTAATTTTAGTTTTGTCTTGCGTATTTTGTTTAATATTTCTTGATCTTGGTGTGACACAGACTTTTTCTAAGGATTTGATGTTTTTCTCTATTTCCTGAATTTTTTTTGTTTTCTTCTTTCTTCTTATTTGATGAGAAAGAGATTATTTTACCTCTCATCACGGCTTTCCCTGCTTCCTGCTTCCAGGGTCGCGGTAGAGCTGACCATCCACGTAGAGCCGGTCCACGGCGATGACAGCCCGGGAGCCTTTCTGGATAAAACTACGTCGGACTGGGAAGAGGACCCTGCATCATTCCAGGATCTCTCTGGGGAACTGATTGTTCACGCTAAAATCTGTCCCTTTCAGCTCTCTGCCGCGACTCTTCACCTGCTCCTTCTGCTTGAAGTGGCCGAATTTGGCTACAATAGGACGTGGTCTCCCGCTTCCTGTCTTCGGAGCCCCTATGCGATGCACTCTATCGAACCCTATGTTTTTCACCGTGTCCTCCGGCAGCTTCAGGTGGATTTTAATGAAGCTTCTCACGGTCGTTTCCAGGTCCTCTCCGGCAGACTCTGGAATACCAGAAAACACCAGATTATCTCTCATGCTATGCGCTTGTAAATCTATAACGGTCTCTTTTATTTTTTTATTTTCTATGTTTAATTGGGTCACATTTTCGGTTAGAGATTTGACCGACTCCCGTAGCGTGGCGTTTTCCGCAGCAAGTGTTTCCACCTGCCGCTGGCTGAACTCCAGGGATTCTTTTAGAGATTTAAATTCCCGGTGTAAGATCTCCACCAGGGACAGCCTTGCATCAAAACTGGACAATCGCTTATCGATTGACTCCAGGATGTCGACGATATCTTTGCCGGCAGACGATGTTGTTCCGGGGGAGTCTGCCAGGCGATATCTTTTAGACGACGGCGTCTCAGCTTTGGCCGGGGAAGACGCGCTCTGGGCCTTCTTGATTACTAAATCTTCGAAGCACCGGTCGATGTATTCTTGGAGAGCGTCTAAACTCTCCTCGTTGTCCTCCAGGGTGTTAGAGATAATAGGACAGATGTTGTTAGTTATATGACAGTTGGTCAGTTTATTTGGCAATAATGACGTTTAAAGAAACTTTGTTAAATTCTATGCTACCATTCGCTTTTTTTTTTTTTTTTTTTCCACCAATCTCCGGCGTCTGACGTCACCTACTACATGGTTCCATGACTTACCTCTCTGCGACCCGCAGTTTCTACCTTCCTCAAGGAGAGGGAGAGGCAGGAGGCTAGGTGTGCCTGGGAGCACGAGTCACCCTTCGATGGGTCTCGTTTGGCTCTTGGTGGGCCCCACAGCTTCCAAACCGCGGTGGCTACTGTCGTTCCATCAGTCGTTCCGTCAGGGATGTGCTCTCCTTTCAGTCATTTCTAACCCCCCCAAAAAAGAAAAAAGAAAAAATCCCACATGCATACTACCCTTTAGGGCTAAGCCCCGGGTGTTTCAAATGTCAGGCTCCGCTTCTGTTTCTGACTGTCTGAGGCAAAAATTTCCCTGATTCAAATTGAATCGAATAGTGGATCGAATTGATTTGAATTTAAATACATTTAAACAAGGAGAGGTCATTAGAAGGAATGAATATGATTTATTGATGAACAGAATCTAGACAGATGTCAAGATATTCAGCAGCATGGACAGATGTGAGGCCATACATCATGGCCGAGATTCAAGATCAAGGTCAGAGGTCACATTTTCTAAAAAACTGATCATTATGATTCGAGAAGCAGTATTTTTTATTTAAAGATAACAGAAAATCTTACAGGCTGTAAATAAGGAAAAAGTTAGATTTGAAGAAATAATGAGACAATAAATCCCATTTTAAAACTAAAATTAAGTCATGAACAAACAAAAACAGAATAAACTTAAATAACATTGAAACAGGAGCACCGAGCTAAAGGGAAGTAATACAATGAAAGGAACTTGCATAAGGAATAAGAAAATAAAGACACTGTCACGGTCCTGGGTCGGGTCGACCCAGCATTTTGAGTTTCTTATGTTTTGGTTTATTTTTGCATTGTGGATTCGTTATTCTCTGGTGATACTGTTTTGATTACAATTATATTCTGATTCTTTAGTTATCTGTTGATGATGTTGATGACGATGATGATTATTTCTGGTTTAGGTTTTATTATCTTGCCCTTATGTTTGGTTTAGGTTGCCTGTGCTTAGTCCTCTCTGCCCGTATGTCCCTCTGTTTGTCCATGACGTCATTATGCTGTTTACGAGTCTGTCTCTGTCTGGCGTGTGCCTCCTGTTTTATTTTGTAGGTCTGTGTCCTATGTCAGTGCGTTCAGCTTTGTGCTCTCCCTGTCTCGTCAGTGTAATCAGCGTCAGCCGTGTCTCCCAGCTGTTTCCTCTTTGATCCGTTCACCTCTTGTATTTAGTGTCTGTGTCTTCCCCTACTCGGTTTCGCATCGTTAACGTCTGTTCACCCTCGCTTCCTCTGTGTGTTTGCCAGCCAGCCTTCCAGCCTACCTATTCTGTTCTTCCAGTTTAGTTAGTGTTTTTCTGTTCTGCTTCTTACCAGCAATAAAGCTGTGTGTTTTGAATTACTTCCACCTCAGTGAGTCCTGCATTTTGGGTCCTCTCTTGGCCTACACACAGACATGACAGACACAAAAATGTTAAGAAATGACAGAAAATAGAAAATCAAAACAAAATATAAGGCCATATTCAAAAGGTGATCGAAAGTAGAAAAATAGAGGAAAAAAAGACCAAAAAAATGAAAACCCTGTGTCAAAGACTCTGGGACCAGTTTTCAAGTGGGGCTCTTTTTGGCTCTCTGTTTAACAATGCTCGTGTGAGATTTAGAGAACAGATGTTGGGAAATGAAGGGTGGACTAATTAGTTTTCCGTCTGGACTGTTATCTGTTTAATCTCAATTAAAAGTGAAAGCAGAGACTGAGTGTCTGATAATGAGAGGCCTGCTATTTCGTAGTTCTTTGTCATTTGATCCAGCATTTTGAGTTTATGGTGTTTTTCTGATTTCTTTGTTTTGGAATGTTTTAGTTTTCTATTATTTGGGTTAGTTGGGGTTTTTCCCGTAACTGTTTCCAAGTTTCTTCTATTTATGTCTCCTCCTGTTGTGTACATCTAGTTTCCCTGAGCATTCCTCACGCCCAGCTTCTGTGACAAGTTGTTTCCTCTTCTACTTTGACAGTGTCAAGTACTGTGTTTAGTGTTTCTTTCTCTGGGTCTTTATGTCTGTTCATCAAAGCTGTTTTCCCAGATGTTTTCACTCTTCCTAATTACTCTCTTCTGTATTAATCTTTTCATTGTCAGGACGTCTGCTCAGTTTTTCATGTTTCTGTTTTTCGTGCATCATGTTCAGGTGTACATATGTTTACTGTTAGTTTAGTTTTCCCAGTCAGTTTTGCCTTAGTTTCCTCAGGCCTTTTCTTTGTATCCCTTTCAGCCTAAATAAATGGCTCACTCTTACTACATTACTTATTACATTAAGCTTTGATTTCCAAGCTTCTGCTTTGGGTCCATTCATGAAACTCCACGCAGTCTGCCTTCTCTCTTATATTATGTTTTAGAGATGGCACAACACCACTTTTTAATGTCAGATACTGTCATGAATCGCTGTGCGGCAGGCAGGAGTTGGACCCAAAATGCAGGACTCACAGACTCGGGGAGGTGAACTCAAAACACAGCCTTATTTGCTGGCAGGGAAAAAACATACAAACTAATCTAAACTGGGAACTAAAAATAAGTAGAAAAATAAGTATTATAGAATGAAACCAAATATAATTTTGGGGGCGATTGTGGCTCAAGAGTTGGCCATTTACATTTATTTGCATTTATTAATATTTATTTACATTTATTTGGGAAGGGATCTCAGAACGGGATTATAGATGGCAGACAGTTGGTGTCGTAAACCACCACCTCTGTTCAAAGATGGTTGTTCACAGTGGACATGGATGGAGATAGAAGGACAGAGAAGACAGATGGTTTAAAGATTATTAAGGGGTCCACTGTCCCTTTTTGGGGGACACTCCCACATGGCTTAAACCTGGGACTCTCCACCATTTGATCCTAGAACTGAAGAAGCTTCTCGGGTGAGAGGTGAAGCGTCTTCAAGCAACTTAAAGAAACTTAAAGTCTTCCTTGGTCTCTTGTGTTCTGGGGGCCTCTGGATGTCTGGAGTCTTGATCTCCTCCATACCTGCTTCATGCCCTGGAGGACGGGGCTGTGGCCTGTGTGATTTTTACAGTGACTGATCTGAAGGGTGTGCTATGGAGCTAGTCCAACCTAACCAGGCTTTCTTTGTCGCAGGTGATGATCAAACATAACAGCCCAGTTGTGTGACAGTGATGATCAGCCTTCAGCTTTAGCCTCTGTGTGTGCTCTGACATAAAAGTGACTGTTTGACATGGTTCACTTTTCTTTCTTTCACCCAGATAAAACAGTTGTTTTGTATCACTAATTGCCCAGTGCGATTACAACATACAATATTATTGTCACTGCTACATTTCTGTGATGAACCAGAAATTATT